GCTAAAACACAGAAAATTTCCGGATTTTTACGCCGAAAATAATTAATTATAACTAAACAAAAGAAAATTAAACTACCATTTACATTCCGTGGGAACACATGATAGATGAAGATATTAAAAAAAAAGATTGAGTTAAACAATTAATATTTTCAAAACTTATCGTGTTTACCTCTCCATGCGGACTTGATAAATTTGCACCATAAGCCACTAAAAGCACTTTTTTTGTAAAAATATCAATTAATAGATTCAAAAAATATTTATAAGTTCAACAATCATTTATCTTTCTGACAATGTGCTTTTTATATAATTTATATGTTCAATATGATTTTTAGATACGATTTTATGTGACAAAGCACTTTGCGCTTAAGGCATGCAATAGAATATCGAGCGAATTGATACATAATTTAAAATTAAAAAATTTCTACAACCGACTTCAATATAAATTATTACGAATAACTCAAAAATTATTGGTAAGACCTTAATTAAATTTATATGGGACCACATGTTTAGCCAGTTCACCAGCATTCAAATAAAAAAAAGAATCATCGAAATCGGTTCACCCAGTAAAAAGTTATGAAGTAACACACATAAAAAAACATACAGTCGAATTGAGTACCTCCACCAGTTTGAAGTCGGTAGAACAACGGGGATGATTACAAAAAACTTCCAACTTCAAACATGTCTCATCGGACACTAACCAAAGCGGCCGCGAGTGCTTGACCTGTTTGTTTTTTATAAAACAAAAACAAATGACAATTTATAACATGTGCTACAGAGCCATGCTGCAGCTATAGTTGTAGCAGAAATGGCTCAGAGCTCGACCGGGGCACGCCGAATATTTTAAAGAATGCTAGCGTGAAATAGCACCTACTGTGTTCTAGATACCCTTATTACTGGAAATAAAGCATTCCATCTTAGTCCTCAACAGTGAAATTATCCGCATATAGATTCTGAACTGAAGGTAGATGTAGATATCTATGGATCACAGTATCCACTTACCAGCAGGTGGACTGTGTGCTCATTTTTCACCCTATACTATAAAAAAAAAACACAAAATATTTTTCTATTAAAAAAAACTTACACAAAATTACGTTACGTCACCACCTATTTTATGTCTTAGAATGTGTCGACAATCACTTCTTAAAAGGTTGCCAATATTTACCACGTGAAATTGACGTCGTTTGCAATGCGTAGATAAAATTACGGGTAGTTGTCTTCAATAATTAAACTTTAATAAAATGTAAAAACCTACTACAAGATCTAAAAGGAATAAAATATTTGGAGGAATTACAAGTCGAGTTTTTTTTTTTGGCCACGGAACCCATCCTCTAATTTTATAGCAACAGTAAAATGAGAAAACTTCTCATAAAATAATTCACCTTTTTTAAATTCTAACTGAATATTGCAAAGAAAGGGTCAAATAAAGAATTAGTTTTAATTGTCCCACTGACTTATACATTACCCCCTATAATTTAATAACCTGAGTTAGTGATAGTGAGTTGTAAAATCCGTGGCTGACCACGGATTTTACAACTCACTATCTCATCAACATTTAGGTTAGGTTAGGTTATGTAGACGCTAAAAAATAACTACCACGCTACGATAGTATTTATAAGATACGCATTAATGTTGGCTGCCTTGGTAATTCAGAGGACGAGCATGGTAGATGATCGATTAATTGCAATTAATTTGGTTCCGACATAACTTAATTGGTGCCGTCTTGGATCGAAACCGGGTTGCTCGCGTAGTGTGAATTTCACGACAAGCACTTAACTTTAAAGCTAAAACAGCTAATTTGTATTTATTTAGTCTCATTTATTATTTCATGTTAACGAGAACTTTGTCTGTATTTTCGGTTAACATTGATTTTGCTAACACTATAGCTTTTTTACCTTAACCCGTTTTTAAATATGTCGTAGTAGAGCCATGCTGCAGCTATATTATGGTTATAGCACGAACGGATCTGCTTGCCTAGAGAAGAATTACGCACTCATAGAATACTAACGTAAAATAGTAGCTCAGTGCTGCTGTGTTTCGTATGGTGAGTGTAGAGAACAGGAGATCCTTTTTACTGGATACGGGGCATCTTAGTGACAACACATCTTAATTTTGATTCTAAACCGAGGATAAATGTAGATGTCTCTGAGCCACAGCCAGTATTTCTAAAAAAATATTGACTATTTACATTTTTATTCCTTATTATTTACTATTGTATACATCATTGTAATAGAAAAAAGCACAGGTAATTGTAGAGACGGCCGCCTGCTAAATGAATTTCCTATGTAAAAGCTATTATTAGAAGCCTCTCATATTGTCGTTCACGTACAAAAGAGCGAAATAAATTGAAACAAAACACACTCGAGGATAATAATTACGTGTTCGTAGTGATGTGAATGACATCTCTTTTAATTAGCACTTTCAAATATAACGCTGTTTTTATTTTAATTACCTAAATTTTATAACTATAAATTCTTTATATTTCATCAGTATCAGTCTGCGTCAGTTCACCACTAGACCTGGGCCTCTTCTAAAACGTGCTTTAGAAGCGGGGGTTAACTTTGACTTCGAGTACACGTATCTATCTTAGTCATCAGATGGACTGTGCGCTCATTTGTCACCCTTGTACTATACAAAAAAAAATCAGTTGTTAACTGCATTGCATAGATCGTCGCTTTGTCTTGTCAGTAAACGTCCTACATTTCGTTTTGTATAGTCCCCTTCGTGCTATGGGCAGCTACACGTCATCGTTGGAGCCACACGCAAATGTGAGTAACGATCCAAGAGCAAGTCTTATCTGACACTTTTCCGATGATATCCCGGACGTCAGTCTGAGCGAGATTAGAATGGCTCTCCAGCCCCTTAAAACGGCAAATCCCCGGGCGATGATAGAATCACAGCGGAAATTCTGGAAGCGGGTGGAAAATCGCTACTTGAAGTCCTTCAGAAACTATTTCATTCCTAGTCTAGTTTCTGTGATGTTAATGCTGTAAGCATATGCTGCTCTTACAGCTTCGAGCGTAGGTGGCTGCGATTACCACTAGCGGGTTTGAATGTGTTTTGGCCTTCTGTAAAGTAGTAGAGAGAAGAAGAAGAAGAAGGAAGAAACAGCGCTGGACATATCCTTGAAATACTCAGATATCGTCAGAAGTTGACGATTTCTGTGTTAGTCGGAGTTTCGCTTGTACCACCGAGCTCCGGTGGCTATGCGAATGAATATATTGTGCACAACTTGGAGGTCGTGCTAATGATTATGGCTTACGTGCGTGAAACCTACGCTTGCGTAAGGCATGATAGGTCTTATGCACGCTTTATAGAAATGGAGTTTGTGTCTTAAGGACAGTTTGCTCCTGCTGTTCACCAGCGGGTGGAGGCGACTAGTGACAAAGTTGGTACAGTTGCGGATATTGTGAATTTTTTTCGCGAAAGTCATACTGTGATCAAATTTGACCCTTAGATTTTGGATATTTGGCCGTACATTGCCAGGGCATCTGGTGGCCGTACAGGATGATCATACCGAACTTTTTTTTTGTTTCTGATTTGACGATTGAAAGTGGAGGTCCTTTGAAAGTGTATCGCTACTCTTTTCTCAGGATTCACTTCGGTTTTCCATAAGCGGAACCAATGCCCTAGGCGGTTGACGGTTGTTTGGAGCATTTTGGTGAGGTATCTTGTATTGGGATGAACGACGAAAAGTAACGTGTCGTCTGCGAAAAGATCTGTATTCACTGCTGGGTGCTTAGGGATTTCACTCGTGAAGAGTGTGAAGAGTAGTGGGGAGAGAACGGAGCCTTGTGGGGCTTTTTGCTTTGTAGAGCGAATACTCTATATTCGGTAGTGAATATGGCGATTGGCAAGAAAGGCTCTGATGATGTGGATGAGCGTATCATGCATTTTGAATTTATACAGCCTGTAAAGCGAGCCGTCGTGCTAGATTTTGTCAAACGCTTTTGCGACATCGAGGAAGATGGCACCGGTTATGGTGGTTCTGCCATAACTTTGTAGGAGGTTAAATCTTTTCATAATGTTTTCTGTGAGGCGATGTAACGGGTCGGTGCACGTGTTTTCGGGTCTGAAGCCGTACTGCTCACCTGGAAGAAGTTTGTTAGTGAAGACGTATTTACGAAGGCGGTTCAATATGGCCCGCTCGTAATTTTTCCCCAGTGTGGTGAGGAGACTAATTGGTCTGTAACTAGAGGCTAAGTAGTACGGTTTACCCGGTTTTGGGATCTCTATTATGTCTGCCTCTTTCTATGCATCAGGGAAGGAGCAGCTGGAATGAATAGCATTGTGTATGCCTACTAAGAGGCATAATAGCGGCGCGGAGAGAGATTTCAGTAACCAGCAATAGCTTATGCCAACGGGGCCGGTTGCTGATTTCTTTTTAAGGCTTTTGATTACTTCTGTGCCTTCGTCAACAGTCACAGGTTCCAGGGGGTAGCCCGCAGGCAGTAGTTCAAACTTACGCTTGACCACCGCTTCAACCTCTGCAAGATGAGCGGGATCTGTCAGTTCGCTCGAGTGAGTACATTGGCTCTCTAAGCTGTCAGCGAGGCATTCGGCCTTTTCAGAGTCGTCAAAGGCGAGATCGAGGTTTCCTGGTCTGATGACAGGTGGCATAGGTGAGGATTTTTCTGCTTTCAGAGCTCGAGTCAACTGCCAGAAGGCTGTTTGGCTGTTTTGGAGGCTGTGCAGTTGGAATTTGTTATCTATAGTACGATAGTGATTGCGTTGTCTTAGGGCCGCGTTTTTATTCTAATGAGTTGTCAAGTATCGCTTGGAAGCTGCATGTGTCGATTGCTCGATGCCCAAACGAGAGCATTCTTCAACTGTAGAGGTGAGGTGGGCCGATAGGGCGCTAACCGCCTCATTGCGGTAAAAGAACGCGACAGTCAGAGAGCGTGGTTTAGTTCTACCCGAGATTTTGTGCTGCCATTCTTATATTTTGCAGAGGTGATTAGGCGCACTGGAAAGACCAGATTGCGGCGATAAGTCCTATGTACTTAATCGTAGCGTTGAGCTTGTCCTGAGGTGAAGTGGCTACGCGGAGTTTTCGGGCCAAGGAGGATAACTCAGCAATGTTGACGTTGCTGATGAAGCCGCCGACTAGCGAGAAGATGAGCCTTGTGGGATGGGCATCAGTTTTGGGGGCCGGGGAGGCGGCACTGGTCGTGAGGCGACAACTGCCGGCGGTTTCACCCAGGCGTTTTGACACAGAAGGCGAGAGAGGGTTAGCACCTTGATCGGCCGCCCCGGTGACTGGGGCGGCTTTGGTGGCGATTTGAGGCGAGGAAGTGGGCACCTTGGATGGTGTGAGTTTGGGAGTAGGTAGCCTAGAGCGAGGCACACTGGCTTGACCCACACATCCGGGGCGGCTTCTACTTCCGCGCTGCTTCCTTCGCGGCGCTTTGGAACATGAGCGATAATTTCGCTGGGTGTCCCTCTTCGCGGCAATTGACGCAACTCGCGGATTCAACCGTCTCGAGCATGCGGGGGCACTCTGTGGCGCCGTGGTCAGTCGTGGTACGCTCCTCTGGGAGGGCGTATGCGTGGAAGCGTAGTAGCTGAGCGCGCAGGTGATTTGTTACACTGCGGAATTCCTCGGTCAAGTTAACAAACATGCATTTCATGAATGACCTGACCAGCGTTTTTCACATTTTGTAGGTCCAATACTTGGTGACATCGGGTCGTCAATCCGCACAATTGGACGGTCAGCAGAAGACCAGACATGCTGGGTACAGGGGCTGGCTAAAGGCGCGGGTTCGGGCGCGGATGCGAGCTCAGGCGCGGGACGCGCGTTACGCTGTGCGAGAATCACAGCCCAAATGTCGGGGCAGACGCGACCTAGAAAGTGGATGAGTTCATCGATCGTAATCAACACCATCTTGTTAACTATGCTAACATAAGCAGAGATTTGTGCCAAGCTCCCCCACTTAGGTGTGTGCCTAAAACGAACACCTATACACCTAGCGCGTAGGTACGCCAGGTTGTGTACCTAGCTATTGCCTAATGCAACAAGCAATACAAAAATTAAAAACAATGGCCGCCTCTGAGGCAGTGGGTGTGTTTAACTCTATTTACGGTTTCCAATACCACTACCAGGAAGCCAGGAAGGATAGTTACGCACAAACACACTTTGCACTACAACAAGCGTCCGATTCACTTCACAGCAACACTGTGGAACCACTGTCTCCCGGGATAGCATGCTTCGCACACCGCAGTGAGAACACCAAGGCAGTAACCAAACACAAAGCACCGAATGAGGCAATTTATAACGCGAATTAATTTTAACATCAATTTTGCGCAGGAGCAATGAGAGTGGAGTGACGCGAGCGAGCTCAACTGACACGTTCGGAGTCTACAAAGCCCAAGCGCAGAAACACTGAAACCACTGAACGCTCTTTCATTCCGTCCTCCATGGTGGTACTACTCCGGAGGTGTGGAGCAGAAGTGCGGTGGTCTTTTTCTTAAAGAAAGTCAATAACGCTCTATTGAAGAATTACAGACCCATTTCCCTTCTTAGCCGCGTCTGAGTGCTGTTCTTAAAGTCATTATGAGTCACCTCGCACGCAGACTCGACGACTTCCGGCATCCCAAACAAGCTGGTTTCCGAAAGGACTTTAGCACCATAGACCACATACCCTTCGGCAAAAATACAGAAGACCAAAGAGTACAACCTACCACTTCATTTTGCGTATGTGAACTATGAGAAAGCCTTTGATTCTGTCGAAATTCGGACGGTGCTGCAGTTCCTTCAGCGATGCGAAGTTGACTGTCAGTATATTGAAGTGCTGAAGTTTTGTACAGTAGGGCTACGATGGCTATCCGGGTACAGAACCAGAGTACGAAACCTATCCAATTGCAGAGAGGTGTAAGACAGGGTAACGTCATATCCCCGAAACTCTTTACCGCTGCATTGGAAGATGTTTTCAAGCTTCTGGACTGGAAAGGATACGGTATCAACATCAATGGCGAGTACATCACTCACCTTCGATTTGCCGACGAAATAGTCCTTATGGCAGAATCGCTGGAGGACCTAAGCACTATGCTCAATGACCTCAATAGTGTTTCCCAACGGATAGGTCTTAAGATGAACATGGACAAAACAAAGATCATGTTTAATGTCCATGTCACACCTATGCCGGTAGTTGTTGGGAACACTAAGCTCGAAGTTGTTCACGAGTATGTTTACCTGGGACAAATAGTCCGACTAGGTAAGTCCAACTTCGACCGAGAGGTCAATCGACGGATTCAACTCGGCTGGGCAGCGTTCGGGAAGCTACGACACATTTTCTCGTCAGACATACCTCAAGAAGTTTTCAAGCTACTGGGCTGAAAAGAAAACGGTATTAACGTCCATGGCGAGTACATCACTCACCTTCGATTTGCCGACGATATAGTCCTTATGGCAGAATCGCTGGAGGACCTAAGCACTATGCTCAATGACCTCAATAGTGTCTCCCAACGGATAGGTTTTAAGATGAACATAGACAAAACCAAAGTCATGAGTAACGTCCATGTCACACCTATGCCGGTAGTTGTTGGGAGTACTATGCTCGAAGTTCTTGATGAGTATATTTACCTGGGACAAATAGTCTGACTGGGTAAGTCCAACTTCGACCGAGAGGTCAATCGACGGTTTTAACTCGGCTGGGCAGCGTTCGGGAGATTATGACACAACTTCTCGTCAGGCATACCTCAAAACCTCAAAACGTAGTCCTTCACGAAGTCCTTGTATGAAGAAGCTCAAGGTCACTCTGCGAGCTATGGAGAGGGTTATGCTCGGGGTTTCTCTGGATGATAGACTTAAATTCCTTGGGAGTGGCCTATGTTCAGCAGTGGACTTGTGATGGGTAAATTATTCAAATGATTCAAAACTTTTATTTGCATCAAACATGGAAAATACAGATGTTAATTACATACATTTTAGACCAAACATGTTTCACTGCATACATATATACAAATATCAAATATAATTATATGACTAATTCAATTACTCATTATTAAGTTATTAATTACAACATTTTGAAAGATACATTTACTTAATTATTATTAAATAGAACAGAAATGTCAGATAATTATTAATTATTATTAAATGGGATAAAAATGTGAAATAATTGTTAATTATTATTAAATAAAATAAAAATGTCCATGCTTCGTGAAATAGTGGTTCATTTGTTAAATATACGATCTAGAAATAATTTGACGCTATAAAAAGTACTTTCTGCAAGAAGATCGTAGAGGCCTTGTTTTAATCTTGAGAAAGTTAGTGCTTTAATATCCTGAGGAATTTTGTTATAATATTTTGACACTCATATGTAGACAGTTTTTATTGTATTTAAATAGTCTAGTAAGAGTGTCGATTACAAGTTTTTTTGGGTATCTGTGACTGGGCTGTAATTATAATGGTGATGATGAATTGTTACAGGTTGGTAATGAAGTAGAACATATTTATCATTATTTTAATACATAAGCGAAAGCGTTATCTTTTTTTTATTTATAGCTGTTAACTTAAGCGTTATATTAATAATGCTATATGTTATATAATTCCCAACACTAATCTTACGTGTCCCCCACCTCCGCTCCGGTCCGGCCCAGCCCCAGTTGTCGTCATTAATATCATTAATTCTAAAACTTTGCAGCGCTGTCCGAAGTCAAGTTTCTTCGTTCATTAGAATTATAATTCGTACCTTAATTCATTGTAATAGGATCAGAGTTTTCGTTTGTACTTTTCGATTGTTTTATTTCAACTGTGTTTAAGGAGAAACAAGTGATTATATTTTTACTTCTCGGAAATAAATGTAGAGGCAGGACTTATCAATTCATTATTATTGTCGATTTGATTAGTAGGGACTTGGCCTTTGTAACTTTTTTAATTATTTCCTTTTTAGTGTATCGCTGTACCGTGGGGAGTAGTACAGTTAGTTTTTATTATAATAAATATTGCATGGTAATATGCTATGTGAATGCAATAAATTATAGTAGTAACAGTTATTCGTCTCCAAAGTGTCACCAGTCCCAGAAAATACGCAGGCTTTATCTATCAAAAGGTTTAAAATATTTAGGAATTCTAGAAAAAAGTACCTGGGAATGAGGTGATCATTACCATGCTGTTTCTAAACGTATTCATAACAATGGTGTAAATATTATATATCCGAACCAGTGGTAAAATTAAAAAATTACTTTCTATAAGAATTACATGTAATCAATTTAAAAAAGTAAATAAAATTAAAGTGTCTGTTTGTAATGTCGAAATAACAGGTAATTATAACAAAAACACGATTTTTAAAATTTTTGTCTGTGTGTCTGTCTGTTTGTTCCGGCTAATCTTCAAAACGGCTGGACCGATTTTGACCGGACTATCACTGGCAGATAGCTGATATTATAAGAAGTAACTAAGGCTACTTTTATTTTAGAAATATAATTAGGGTTCAGCGTAAATTCAATTGTAATAAATTACGCGCGGGCGAAGTCGCGGGGAACAGTTATTTTTAGAATAATACTTAGGGTTCCGCTCAAAAAAATTAGAACCCTAAATTACACGCGGGCGAAGTCGCGGGGAACAGCTAGTATTGAATAAAAGTTATTATATTCTATTCTAATCATTTTTTAAATCTATTACCCAGAAAAGTCCAAGCTGTTTTTTTTCTTGTCTGACTTGGATATTACACAACAACTTTATTTTATCCATTTCCATTTTAATACCTAACCGTTGGGAGAAACTATTGTGGTCATTGAACATAGTTCCTAAGGTCCTCCAGCGATTCTGTTATAAGAACTATTTTATCGGCAAATTGAAGTTAAGTGGTATTTTCGCCATTTATATTGATACCGTATTCTTTCCAGTTGAAAGCGTATTCCTGTGCAGGGAACTGTTAAGAGGTTCGAGGATGCAACGTCACCCTGTCTTACAGATCTCTGCGGTTGGATAGGTTTTGTACTCTGGTTCTGTACTCGGATAGCCAACCTAGCCCTACTGTATAAACACATCAACAATACGATATACCTACTGTAGCACTGCCTTAATTTCAGTGGAATGAAAGGCTTTCCCATTTTCCTCATACGCAAGACAAAGTGGTATATTGTACTCTTCGGTGTATGGTGCTAAAGCCTTTTCGAAAACCAGCTTGTTTTGGGAGGCTGGAAGCTCGAAGTTGTCCCTGTATCGGCAATACACCACCCCATGGGGCCAGACAACGGGAGACAACAAGCATATCTCTTTGTATTTTTCAGGAACCTGGAGTATCCTGGAACGAGGAGGCACCTGGGTAAGTTTTGCCGTTTTTTTGATGATGGAGAGCCATTCTAATCTCGCTCAGACTGACTTCCGGGATATCATTGAAAGACAAGTCTTATGTATTTATATTTAAAAGATGCTTACGCAAAACGGCAATTTTGGTTGCATGCGGTTGTATGCTTTCATGAAGTGAAAACATATCTAGGCACGTTGAGCACTTTTGGGATGGTGAAAAAGCA